CCAGCGGGTCCGTCTTGGGGCTGACTGGCATTGGCTCTATCAGACATGGGGGAAGCTTCTAGCAGCCTCTCACAGAAGCCACCTCTATAGCCCTCCCACTACCAAAACCTTGCCATGCAAACCCCATACACTTCTTAAAGAGATCTATCAAGCCTTTATACCTGTATACTTTTCCATCCAGGAATCAGGTAATAAGGAAACTGGGCACAGTACCCATAAACTGGTATGTCTACCTGGTAGATACATGTGGGATTTTCCTCCAGGTACAGTCAAATTTTGACGATTGCAGATTGGTTCAATTGAACAAGTAAAATCCTATGTAATGTTGAATAAATTAGTATGTCCAGAGTGCTTTGCACCAAAGGGTCCATCAGAATTCAACATTTATTATTAATAACTTATAGAAGATGAATGTCTGTTCTATATTTGCTGAAGGAGAAATCTTGGCTAGTCAGGAGAAATCCCATTGTCCAAAGCCTAAACAAAAAGTCCTTCTAGATCGAAACCTATTCCTTCAGGTTAAATTTTATCTCCCAGCAGAGGATTATTACCTCAAAGCATGTCACACACTCACACTAGTCTTTTTTTTTAAAATCTGTTTTGAAGAGGAGATGTGTCTAGAAGACCAATATATTCCAATAACCCTTAGTTGTTGGAAGAGCCCCAGAGGATGAAATTGGATCAAAGGCCTCCTGAGATTGTCCTAATGTTTGTGAAATGTTTTAAAATGTAAAGTGGTGTTATTACCTCAGGGTTAGCTCTCTAGAACTTCCAGATTTATGATGTACTTTGCAGGGCATTGATTGATATTGATTTACAAAGTCAGGGTTTTTAGTGTTTTTCACAGCCTGGGCCATGTTTCCGTCCGGAGAGTATCTTGTGCTCTTCCATTCACAACTGTGTGGTTGAATCTTCCCATTCAGGACTGCATAGGTCCTCTCGGGTAGCTGGAGCAATGGCTTGTGGAAAGAAGGTATATAGAGCAGAATTAATACGCTTCGGAATATTTAAACCAATTTAGTTCTGGGAAGAAGGAGTGAAACCATTAGTAGATGGCTCTGCTTGAAGTAGAAATTATCTTGGTAACACATGCTTAATACCTGTTTACCTTATTGATTATTAGTAGTTGGCAAATCTTGACATAAGTAAAGGTCAGAGTTCTAATTGCTGAGTGGGCTGGATTGGAACTGATGCTTTATAGGAAAGCAGATGATAAAAGTTTTTTATCATCATTGTAAACTTCTCCTTTACAGGGGAAAGGGAGAATCTGTTTCTTGAGTGATCTTTGTCCCCCAGAGTACTTACCCAAGCTATTTTTTGCTAAGATTAGTTTTCTTTTAGTCTCAACAGCTCCTTTTAGTAGAGAGCTGAAGGCAATTAACAAAGTAGGGCTAATTTAGGCTGTAGAGCATTCTGCTCAACAGTCCGTTGATTATGTTAACACCTGAGTCCTAGAAACGGATGGCATGAACCACAAACATCATACCATGTTCACACTTAGCAAGATTCTGAAAGAATGCTAATACTGTTGAGACCATTGATGCAATTTGAATTGAAAATCATGATAATCCTTGTCGTGTCGTTTCTGTGTCTCTAAGATCTGCTTTAAATGGCACAATGATTATATATGTAGGATCTACTGCCGCCATAGCCATTATACGTATAAATGGGATGTTGTCAAGAGGAAAACCATTCTGCTACAGCAGAAATTCAGCACGGAAAAGAGGTGTTCTCATCTTCATCCTAGCTACTGGATTCTGGTGGAAAGTGAGATCAAGGCTCCAAGGCAGCCTTGCCAGATGAGACTGGTAGAGCAGCTCTCACTCTGGATAACAAGCCCTATTGTTCAGCATTCAGGTTCTGCTGGTTAGCTTCAGGATGCTGTACAACAGTGTAAACATGTAAAAATACAGCCACCCTTTTGTAAAACCCAGCATGTCACACAGTGCAAGGTGATCCTGTATTTTTAAAATTCATTTTCTATGTCAGCAAAAATTATAACTTGTCTAAAAAATTCTGATTCCATACTTTAATGTAATATTTATTTGTATTTGCAATGTAACTCAAAGTGAAAGGAAATCTTAGGTTCATGAATAGTTTCACTTTATGGTTCCGATCTATTACACTGTGTGTGTCAGGATTGCCACCTTCAGAGTGAGCTTTTGTGTATTTAAAAATCATTATTATGTATCTACCAGTATTTTTTGGAAATTGATTTTTGAGGAAAAGCAGTAATAAAAGAGTCCACTGGTGTTTAATCAAAGTAATTATTATAAATACACAGAAAATTCAGAACCTTTGGAATGAAAGTGCCTCTTCATGTATTCCTTTAGAACATAAACTCCCTTAACTAAGGTGTCTTACTCAGATGACTCTTGTATTTCCCAAAGCTGGTTCAGGCTTCCTCTTTGCTATGTTGCAAAAACCAGCTGATATCTGAAATGGTCAATCAGTTGACAGGATAACGCACACATAGATTTCTAGTTTACAGAATATCACCAGATTAAATGAAAATAAATTCAGCAATGTTTTTTATTCCTACTAATAGTATTAAACACCTTTTTAACAGAAAACAAAGTTCAGCTGTAGGTTGACACTGTTAGCTGCACTGAATACGGCACAACGTCGGCAACCCAATGACAACACCTTTCATATCATACACAGTTTCTGATAAAACACAGATCCAGAGAACAGCACAGACAGCCAAGACTTTGGCTGCATTAGAGCCAGTGTTTCCAAAAGTATCCATAAATTTTGGTTGCTGAAGTTGAAGAAACCTAAAATGGAGGGATGTTTTGTTAGTGGGCTCTTCTGAAAGTACCGGCTTTTTGTGCAGGGGGAATTGCAATGCCAGATTCTTAGTTTTTAACGATAGTACCTAAGCTATTTTTGTTAGATTTTTTTTTCGTTCTTCCTGTTTCTCAGAATCATGTAAACGATCCGAGGCAAGTCTTTTTTGGACAATATATTTTGGCTGTTCGCAATCTGAAAAGAGAAATAGGAAAGCTGTCGGGTGTTCAAAAACCGTAGGAATTACTAATTCCTGTTTGGAGATTAAATTAGCGTTTTGGATAACTGATCTGTTATGGCTATTTGTGCCATGTAAAGGTCAAAAGCAGGGTACACATGTATCTGCCGGGACTGTGGATTTTGTCTTCCTCCACCCTCTCCGCAGAGACTATACTTCCAGTTTATAACCCCTGGTTGGAGGGGGGATGGGACTATAGCCCATCATTAATACATGCAACATTCATTTGCTTAATTGTAAATGACGTACCTTCCAACTATGAGTTTAAATTCTCATACGCTTGCAGATTGCTTTAGGATCACTGCCTGAAAGGCACTGTATAAACGAAGAATATTCATTATCATCTGAAAGCTCTTCAGTCTGAGCCACTTAGCAGAAAACCTCTGGAATCATTTTGACTCCGGTGCACAGGTTCTGCCCTCTAGGACCTGGTGCCATTCTGAATCCAGAGAAGCAGTTGTTCTAATTCAGCTGACTACTGTCATGCTTTGCATGGCTCAGATGAGCTATTTTTAAATTACTATAATTAATTTTGCTCATAGTTACAAAAGAGATCATATACTCTTATATTCCGCACCTAAAGTACAGAAACTCTGGACAGCCTGCTGTTTCTAAATTCTTGGAAAGGACTCTGTCCCTAATATTCAGACTTGATGAACATACTGGTTCTCTGGCATGCCTGCATTCACTCCCATCTGTCAGGCTGGCATTGTTCCCACTCGGAATTATCTATGCCAATTTCAACAGGGCATAGGTGCTAACCAAACATGGTTTTAGAGGGACAGCTTTCATAACACAGCAAGTGCCATCTCTTTTGCCAGGAGATCCTGCTGTTTGCAAATAATTCCAGCTTAAGGCCACATGCTTCATTACATGAGATCACATCTGTAGATGCTTGTGGCCATTATAAAAAAATCAACAAATGTCTACTGTATTTCTCTTTCAGTTTGGCTCAGTGCTTGGAATTTTGCATGTGGAGAATGAATGCTCTGCTCCCTTGTTAACAGGAGAGAGCCATAGGCTGTTATATGCTCTGAGCAGTCTTAACAGGTTTCTGCATCAAAGCTGGGGCAACAAACTGCAGAAGTTTACCAGAGCTGCGCTGCTTTTTCAGGTGGCCCTTGATTGCTTTGAGTCTATGGTATATTCTGAGAGAATGATAGAGCATTGCCTTCTTGCCCCACAGCTTTTGCCTCTCCAGATTCTGAACAGATTAATGTATAAGGCATATTCTGCCCTCACCCAGTTGTAAAGTGGTATATATGTACAACAAAATTAATACTGCTTATTAAACTTAATATTCTATATAATGCTCTATATAAGATACATAAATATTATATTATATTATACATATAGCATTAGTATCATATTAATATATTATAGCTGCACTTGAGTCCTGTTTTGCCCCCCTGAACAGATTACTTGTGTTAGCAGAATTACTCTGTACTGCATAAGGCTAGAAATGGCTTAGGAAAGAGCAAAACCTGTTCATGAGCCTCACCTGGACAGCTCACTATGCTCAAATTTAAAATACAACTTTGTAGTTAGGCAAAAGAATATTTTGCCCAGAATATTTCTCCAAAAAGAATATTTGTAATAAAATAAGATTCACGGTAGATAATTTCCAGCCATACATTTCCAGTCATGATTACTGACTTTTAGGTATTTCACCATCCAGCCAGGATCTGTGGAAAAGAAACCAAAAAATGCAACCCCCTCAACACCCATAGTGTTTTTACAGTAGTATGCTTGCAGTATAGCACTAGGAAAGACCATGTTCACGTCCTGCATAGAAATGTAATTTTGCAAATCATGAGAGAGAGTTTCAGTTGTTTTCTTTACTAGCAGAGCACCTAAGGCTGCTTTTAATTATATTTTACACCTCCCTGAAAGAATATTGAATTTAAGAATGTGCAGACGAGTCCTAGCATTTTCAAGGATGCAGAGTGACAAGTAGAGACACGAATATATTGGAAAATTCTGTTGGGAATCAAGGTCTAAAATTACCAAACATTTCTACTGACTGTGTATTTCAGAGGAGTAATGTGTACATTTTTGATAATTTTTTTTTTGTTGTTTAGCATAAGTTTATGGAATCAGGTACAGTTGACAAGATTTCATAGGCTTTGAAGCATACTTAATGTGCTTCTCCTATGCTATTGAGAAGTCAAATTTCAAAGTACTGTGTGGAGCTCAAGAAACAAACATAACCAGTCTCATTTTGCAGTATGTTACTGTATCAGTTGATCCTAATCTTTACCTCCTCTCACCTGTCTTCTGTCCTTAGTCTTTTTGGCAGCTAACCTGACCTTCTGGACTGTTAGCGCTGATTTTTTTGCATACCACTTGGACTCAGAGATACTCTTTTATTTCCTTTTTTTCCCCCCTTCCTCTGGCTCCTAAAAGTACTCCCTCATAATAATTGTATTCCTTGGAAATCACTTGTCCCTCAGGGAAGGGGAGCAGAGTGGCAGAAGACCTGTATGTTATTAGTGCCATAGAATGAAAAACCTCAGGGCAGATGCTTGAGAGACCACGGGTTTTCCAACTCAATAGCCCTTGAGGGGTGAAAAGCAGGTTCTACTCCAGTGGAGTCAGACCAGGAGCTGCCTCATGTGGGGGCTGTTGCGGTTTTGAGTGAGCTGTATTTCGGTTGTTCCTTACCAGTCACAGCAGCAGAGTTATAAGACGATAATCTGGCTGCCTGGTAGGAGTCTCAGCTCTGAGACGTTGCACTGAGCAGTCAGTCCATTATCTCACTAGCCAAACCTCAAATCTTTCCCATAAAATATGAAGTTGGACGTGGTACTCTTGTTAGGGAGCACCTAA